TGGGCTCCAAGGGGGCACCCAATTCTCTTATACCCGTCCCGAAGATCCAAAGGGTTCCTTTCCCCTTCTCGAACCGTTGACGAAAAAAAGAGTTGTCGCTTCTGCTTCCACGGGTTTTTGGTCTTTCACTCTTTTTATTGATTTATATTATATAATTTTTATCTTCTTATTTTCCAGCATTGGATTTCATTTTCTGACCGCCTCACCAATTCGCTCTCGGAAGCCAGGTAAGCGGTTAGAGATGCACAATTGGGTTTAGACGGCCTATGATTGATGGATGCGGCCGATGGTTTTATCTTTTTTGTCCTTTCTCCCCTTTTCCCCCTCCTCTTTCTTCTCCTAAGGGTGGGGAAAGCTACGACGACGGGATACAGAGGGCACATCTCACATCGATGACTGGCTGGTTTGGGGTTATCGGGTACCGCATGAGGATGCAAATGGGATTCGTTCATGCCAGGGGCGGCGGCGAAGAGGGAAGGAGGACAACGCCTCCACGGTACATTGGCGCACACGAGACGTGTGGCTTCTGAGTGTGTACCAAAGGACGCACCAGGGGCGCTCGGGGCTGGAAGGGGAGGGGAGGGGGAAGAGGCAAATCCTCGAGCAGATGGGGATTGACGGATGGATCGATTGACATCCAGATTTCAATTGATCCTCATTTCACCCTGGAGCCCGCCCTTTGTCACTCGAGAGCCTTCTCCATGTATATCTTCACAGTGCTGCTGGTCGTTGAGTGGGGTCGTCGATTCGTTCCATGGCATTGATGTTGTCGCTCGTCGGCCTTGTACGCGACCTACTTGAGAGCTTGGCCCGCCAGGCCATCTTCAAGAGCAAAAGGATGGAAAGGGCGGCTTCAAGACTTGGGAGCATCTACTCCTGCCAACAGATGGATTGTCATGAGCTTCCACTCATTATGCCTCTCCTGCATGGACGCGGACGGACCACCTAGCGCCATGGACGAAATAAGGTCGCACAGTTTTCCTTTTTTACATGTAATCCCTTCACCTCGCCCTCCTCGACAGGAAACACTGTGAGCTGCGAGAGAGCGGGCTTGTTCTTGTTGGGAAATGGGGGATGGTTCGTGCGGCTCTTTGGGAGCGATGATCAATCCCCATTCTCGTCCTTGTTCCTGTGGCCGCCCCCTCAGAGGGACAGACAATCGCGATATTACAGCTATTTAGTGCAACTAAGAAAAGATTTGTGCTGCCAACGCCTCAATCCTTCGTGGGGTCTAGCAAGCGTGTGGGGACATGACGGATGCGGCGAGGTTGACTCGGCGTGCAGATGCCCTTTTCCGAAACTCATCTCCACCTTTGTCCGTGAGAAGGCAACGGCTCCTCTTGCCCCCTTATTTTAGCTCTCGTGGATTTTTAGATCTTATCAAAGCCGACATGTACACAAGGGGAAGAAAAAAAGGGGGCAAGACTCAAGATTCAAGAAAGAAGAAAAATTTGCAATATTTTGTTCCCCATATCCGCGAACGTGACGCGCCAGGCTGCAGATGAGACCCGCGACCAACGTAGAACGGGGTCGTTCGATCGAATGGAGCTAAATCCAGAGAATCCACCTGCGTGCTGCGTGCTGCGTGCTGCAAATATTATGGATCTGGCATACAAAATCAATTAGCGTGGAGGGTTATTCGGCCAGCCAGCAAGTGCTGTGGTGTGCTGTACCGCCTCCAATGCCTGTCGATGGGAGTTGCAGGACAAGGGGAAGGGGGACGGGGGCCTTGCCCTTGTTGCGATGCACGCTACGGCACATTTGCCTTGGCCTAATTATATATATCCTTTTTCCCTTTATGCAGTATCTGTTCGTCTTTTTGTCTACTAAGATAGTGTAGGTAGTGTAGGTAGCTTCGTTGGAGTATGGAACGTTTTCTGCCTTTCTCGACGTGCGTTGCTGGGAAATTTGACGTCCCCTTAGCCCCACGTCTATTGCAAAGCCGCGTTGGATCTAGCAGTAGAAGAAGGCGAGGGAAAAAGGAAGGAAAGAAAGAGCCAACTGACGCGAATTCCTTGGCCCATGACCGCTAGAAGGCTCGCGAAGCAGAACAAAAGGAAAGAAACGACGGGGTCTTTGTTCGCCAAGGGGGAAAGAGGCTAGCCTTGGCCCCAACCCAAAGTACGCAAGTAGAGTCCACCACCAATCCATCATTGATCCATCTTCTCCTTCCGAATTCCTCCTTAGCCGCTTGAACTTTGTCCACTTCCAGGCTCCTGCTCCAAAGCTTTCGAGATGACCACACCACGAACTGCGATTCTATTTTTCCTCCCTGTTCTCTTCTTCTTCTTGGACCGTGCCACCAAAGGGGCCAAAAGAGGCGATGGTGTCGGCAAACCTGGGGCCCAGGAGATTGGGAGGCTTGCCAGATCCTCATTTCGAGTTCCGGTGAGCGAGTGCACTGACCTTGATGCTTCCAATACCACTACACTGCGCTACACACTGCGAGTATTTAGAGTCCAGGCACAGACATGGGGACCAGGGGGAGGAGAATGGGCCCGTTGCTGTGGAGTTCTCTCTCTCCCACGCCAGCCGTTTTGCGTCCTTTGAGAGAGGTGTGTTCGTGTTCACGTCCTGCCGAGCTTCCCTCAGTCCACTCTGGGCTCGCCCACAAACTGTAGCGTGCTTCCCTTGTCACGCCAAATTTCCACCTGCCAAGCATGGGCCACCTCAGCGGCGTCGGCTCATTTCGAGGCTTGCAGGTGTGGCAATACTCTCTTTCTTGTCAAACAGAGAGACAGAGAGATGGAGAAAGGCAAGAAAGGCTAGCCCTGACCTAGTGTACGCTCAAAGTAGGAAAGCGATCGCATTGCAAAGATGCCGGTCCCGGACGGGAAATATGGATGCACAATGCGAGGAACGAAAGGGCGAGAACAGGAACTGAGATAGAAATAGGATCGTCCATCGCACATAGGATCAAATATTGAAGGGTGGCGCATGACAAGGTTTTTTTTCTTTTCTTTTCTTTTGGTCTTCCCTCTGCTGCTCTCTCTCTCCATGCGGCCATGCTGCATTTTCCAGCTTCCTTCTCTTTTGTTCCGATTCCGAATGGTGCCAAAAAAGCGACTGAGCCTTCCTGGCCGGCGTGTGAGAAACCACCCCCAAGAGGTGTTGGTGGCAGTGTGTGTACGAAGATTCGTGCATGGGGCTAGGCCTGGCGTGGTGAGGCTAACAGGATCTGGTCGTAGTATGTGGTCGAAAAGGTCAACTAGGTCTGCCACTCCCAATTCGAGTCCCACCACCTTCTTGGATTACATGGTGGGCGTGATATGTACGGAAGTAACTCCTGGTACAACTTTTTGTCGTCGTGTAAATGGAGCGGAACCTGCCTTTGGAAGTTTACTTGTCAAGAGCATATTGATCTGGATGGCTTCTCTCCTCTTTCAAAAGACCGACCACGTCCCCGCTCTCGCGATGGACACTTGATTTTTCCCAGAGTAGCTCCATCCATAGATGAAACTTTTGTTAGTGAATTGGCAGCTTCATCGGCGCTCTCTCCAAGACGGCGATCGAGGCGTCATCGATCCGATTATACAGGTACAACCTTTTTCCATAGTGCCTGGCGCTGGCCTCGCCCCCTCCTCGCATCATCAATTGACGGAATGGATGGATCCCTCGAGCCCTCTCCACTCTAGGAGTGGGATCACCGCTCGGAACCTCAATATCTTGGAGACAACACAGAACCATACATAGGTTTTTTCCTTTTTCCTTTTCTTTTTACCACCTCCGTTTCAGCACTCGAAAAAGCGGGAGAGGGGGAAAATAGTCAATTATTAAGTAATTAATTCCACAAAGAGAAGTGGGAAAAAAAGGAAGAATGAAGACAGCAGCCCAACACACGACATTGACTCTGGAGGTGAGTTCACAAATGGATTGATTGAATGGAGTCCGCCCCGGTCGACGAGGTTCCGACTCGCCGATGGGTGCACAGTGGCATTAAAAACGAGCCACGGTCGGGCAGGTACCTGGTGTCGCTCCACCTTGTTCTTCCTTGTGTCTTGGGGAAGAGACTTGATAGATGGAATCGAGGGCGTGACGAGCACGACAGGGGTGTGTGTGGTTTTGGGTTCTCATCCCCCTTGACGAAAGGGGGCGTGCCTTGACTCTTGTTGCTCGCTCAAAGCTGCCACACCCCCTTCTTTCCTCACCCGGTATCGTCACACCCCACATCACGCTACACCCCTTCTCATCCACGCCCCCGTCTATCCCCCATCCCACACACCCGCTCCTTGTTCCCTGTCCTCCCCCAAAGGGAAAAAAAGGGCATAGAAAGCCCAAGGGACCCTTCTTCCTCATCCAATTCAAATATCCGTTGTGCCCATCCAACCCTTCCCTTGGATTTGGCCTCTCACACTACCTTGCCAACCAACGATCTTCACATCTCCCTTGAGCTCTTCATACCTTGAAGGACAGAAGAAGAATAAGAGTCTCTCTTGCTCCTCTTCTTCCACAATCACACCCGCTCACGTCTAGACACACACACATACACACACAACGCATAACACATCCACACGGGAATCCACCGAGGAGTGTTTCGAGACAACGAGGTTGCCGCCACAAAAAGTCTCTCTGCTCACGCAAACCGCAAGTTCGGAATCGTTTCTAGGAGCATCTTCTCGAACACCTAGGGGAAACCTTGTTTTTACCTTTCTTCTTCTGCTTCACCTCTCTTTTTCCTTGTTCTCTCTCCCTCCTCCTCCTCCTCGCCCATCTCCAGGCTCCACATCCCATGATGGAGACCCAAACGCAAACCCGCAGCATAAATTACCGAGACTCCCTCCCCGGAGCCCCAAGCCCATCTACGCCCGCGAGAGCTTCGACGAAGCCATGTACAACGAAATGACCGCCGCCGCCCACAACGACACCACCCTCATCACCTCGACAAAGCAGCCCACCGTCGTCGAGATGAAGCTCGAGCAGCACCAGAAGCAGCAGCAGCCCTTGGCCGCCCCCGCCCTTCCCCAAAGTCCTCCCTCCGCAGCTCCCGAGTGCTCGACGCCATGACACTCAAGCTCGACGCTCCCGGCGTCAACGAGCCCGAGTTGGCGCGGACGGCGGCGCCCCACGAGGTCTACCTCTCTTCCGAGGAGGACGGATCCTCGTCCGCCGACGACTTCTCCGACTACGACTTTGACTCGGAGAGCGAGATGGATCCCGCCAACGCAACGACGGCGACGAGGAAGAGGAGCTACGAAGACATTGCCAAGATGGTGTCCGTCGTCTACTCGGGCAAGCCCACCGTCGTGCAAATCACGACGACCAAGAGGTCCGCCACCCCTAGCTCGTCCTCCTCGTCCTCCACCTCCAGCCCCTCCTCGACCCCTTCCTCCGCCGCCGTCTCCCGCATGTCGAGCCCCAACCTGGGCCGCCGGCAATCCAGCTACACCCAGAGCTACTACCACCACCCTCCCCGCACCACCAGCCTCGCCCTCGAGGGCTTCACCCTCCACGCCAACTCCAGCCAGCCCGCCTTCCTCGGCATCGACCCCTTCGCCGACGTCACCCCCGAGGAGGCCGAGGCCGGCCACACCTCCGCCTCGGGCCGGTCCCCTTCCGCCGTCTTCAAGAAGACGCTGGGCCTCGTCAAGAAGCGCAGCCGCCCGCTCCTCGTCACCACGCTCGGCAACTCGTCGCAGGCCCGCCTCGATCTTGTCTCCTCCCCTTCGTCCTCGGCCCGGGACAACGCCAACGAGTCCCGTCCCGAAACGCCCGTCACTCCCTGACCCCTGGTGCGAGGACGAGCACGGTGCCCGTCACCTACCACGAGATCATGAAGACGGCCAAGAGGAACGTTTCCTCGCGGAGCAAGCATCCCAGAACTCTAGCCACGCACCTCCCGCCTCCTCCATCTCGCCGGAAAAGAGGAATCGCCTTCTCGCCGGCCTCTCGATGTCGAGGCGGAGGAGCGTCAAGGCTGGTTAAAGCGTCAAACACTTCATCTACTTCTTTTCTTCGTCACTCTTTCAACAATATCTTTTATATTTTTCCAACGCATTTTTGGAACTCTTTTTCGTCTTTTTCAGCAGCGAGAGGAATACCTACAACAAGCTCGAATCTGGACATTCGAGCCTTTCTTTCCTTTACTCTCTCGGAACCATGGGAGGCAGAACAGCACACGCTCATTTTACACCACTATACACATACAGTACACACTCACTTACAACAATACGGCGCCATGCATGAGGTCTCCGTCATTATTTTTTTCCAACTTTTGTTTTCACGATACCAGTACATAATATGAAGGCATTGGGAGTGTGGGGTACGACCAGCCACCATCGGGGCTCTGGAGTTATCTTGGGGATTTCAACGATTTTTTTCTCTGTTGCTTTTTTATCCATTGCCGATGGGTAAAAGGGAAGATGGGCGGAGAGGACCGAAAAATCGTATCTTGGGCTGGATTGGGTTGTACACTTGTCTCTTATTTTGTTTGGCCACTACCATCAACGGCGTTTTCCGGGCGGGGAACTTTTATGATACCAATGACGACGACTTATACTCGCGATTTATCGAGTTCTTCTGTCTTAGCTGTTTCTTCTTTTTCGAACAATTGATCTACCAGTTTCTCTGGATCTTGAAACATCTTCCCTTGTCCTTCTCTTTATGCGTGCCTGCCGGTATCTCCTTTCACATTGCCCATCTGTTCAAAGCGATATGGAAGAGCCCATCAATGTTGTTCTATTCATGTTGCTTTGTGCGCCTTATTGCCTACGGCTTTGTGTCCGATTTCTGGGCCAGTAGTGAATGATGAGCATTCGGATGGACACGCCAAGGGTTATTTTGTGGGCGCACGCACGTCCCAATGTCCACTTCAATTGCGAAGCGAGCACGTTGGGGGTCAAGATGCGGTGGGAGTGGTCGGTGGTTGCGTAGTGTAGCATTCGGGTGCAAGGGGGCCAAGATGGAAATTAGCACCAGCGTGTCGATAGCTGAGGGAGACTGGGCGGAAAAGAAAGAATGGATCACGGCACGATTAGGAAATGGATGTACGTCAAGGTACAGGATGGGCAGTCAAGTGATGGCGAAGGCTGCTGATCTGTGGGAACAGTAAAAACAAGGTGGTGCGTGGTGCGGTACACCATGTCGCAATGGGTTCAATGTTCTTTTCCCACAAAAGTCAACATTGATCTGCTGGACCACGACATCCGTGTTCTTTTCGTTTTTCAGTGTAGACACATTAGCACAGAACTCGTTGGACATAGTTTTGCGTCTTTTCCTTTTTCTTCCTTTTTTACATACTTGTCGGCGGAGACAACCTGGGTGGCATGTTCTTGTCGCCACCGACTTACACGAACCATTGAGAACCGACCACCAGGTTTTTTGTTTGTTATTGGCAGCCAGCAGGCTAGTGGTGCAATTGAAGGCCAGGACAATTCAATGGAATGGATATATGGGGCGCGAGAGCCAGGATTGGGCATTAGGTTCTTCCGCTATAGCTCAACCTGTGTGTTTCTCCCACGACCTCCGAAACCGAATATGCACCGGTACAGGCACAGGCTCAGGCGCCGGGATGCTGTTGGTTTTTCGGTCTCTAATCTACTCTGCTCTGCTCTTCTTCCTCTCCTTTTCCTTCCAGGTACATGGGACAAGCAATGGTGGGGGTTTGGGGGAAAAGGTAGAAATGCGGGTTTCAATTCCATGGATCGCCAGCATGAGTGATGCTTGGGGATTCTTTTTGGGGACACGCTCACTCGGATTCGGATTCCACATTGCAAGTGGGCTTTTGTGACTCGGCGGGCAGCGAATGCAACCCCAATCGTTTTCTTCTTCTTTTCTTTCCTCCTCTGTACGAAAACCAAAGATTACAGTTGCATCCGTATATAGTGCTCCTTTTTTTCGTTGAGCAGCCAGAGAGCTCCGTCCGGGAGGAGCCAAAACCTCGGAGCTTGCTGTTTTGGAGGTTGTACTCCGCGACCTGTCCCCTATTTTTGGATTATATGGTACGGTAAGAGCTGATTGGCACCGAAGAAAAAAACTGGCAGAGGAGCACAGGTCATGAAGAGAGGAACAGGAAGGTCCGGTCTTTCTATGGGTCGCACACCCTCCATCCGCCCAAGATTATTTATTTTCCGGTGGGTGCATTTCTTGGGAGGGTGCGACGGCGGTCGGCTTTTGTTGGGTTGCCCGAGGTGAGCGCAGCCTACTGTCCTTACCTCTCTCCCTCCCTCTTTCTCTCTCCTTTCCTTCTTTTTTTTCCTTTGGGTCGGAGCCCACGGCTCCTCATGTGCTCCAAGTGTCTGGTCGGATCAATTGTGATTGGGAATGGGAATGGGTAAAAAGGGGGCGCCGCCATCTTTTCCTGGTCTTTCTTCCTTGGTTCTTGGGGGCAATCATGGGACGCGTGATTGCGTCGGAAAGGTGGTGTGAGCCAGACAGTGGCTGTAGCATCGTGGGTGGGGAGAGAGAGGACGAGAGTGCCGGCGATGGTTGGTGCCTCTCTCCGTAGCCTCTCTGGTTCGGTGAAGGGGCACTTGATCAATCAAGGTGTCCTTGAACCGCTGGTTCCATGGGTGATTTTGTATCTTTCTTAGCGTTCAATGCTTGGTCTGTAACGATGCTCGACAACCTCAGCAAGATAGGAGATCGGGGCAACAGGACGGGGAGGCTCAGCATGAGCGGAGAGGTCCGATCAAAAGACGTCACAGGGGCGCATTTTTGGTAAGGAGGCCTGTCTTGGTCCTGTGGTCCTGACCTCTTGTCTTGCCCATGGATGAGGCCGCACTGGATTACTCGGGGTGTATTATCACTTGAAGATGGGTTTATCTGGTTCAAAAGCCTCGGGTCGCCAGCGCCAACTCCTCAGCGTGGGGGAAACAAGATAAGCAGAGAGAGAGAGATTGGAAAGGCCTGGATTAAGCTCTTTTGGTCGCGACGAACAGCGTCTGCATGTTCCTCGTTGTGCTGTCCGTATGCAGCACCGGGCCGGTAATGCTCTTTTCATCCATTAATGTGTTTTGGGTGTGCGTCCAAGTGCCCGCATTTGTATGTTTTACGTCTGTCTAGACCCGGGTTAATTGATGCAATTGGATCCAGTGATGTTATGAAAGCATTGAGTGAAAGTGTATGCATATCCAACCTCGACGCCGGACCGGGTTCAACGCACGACCGGCGGATTCATCGTTACAAGAGATGGATCCATATCTCTCTCTCTCCTTCTCCTGTGCGCTGGCCCAGCTGAGATTCTAACCTCGCTTCAGTCGAGCAAGCCCTACCCCTTTCAGTCTCTCCTGCCCTCGCAGTTCTGACTCGCCAAACACGACTCTCACGCAGCAGGCTCACATCTCGACGTCGCAGTGCGCGATGCAAGGCACGCCCGAATACACCAATGCCACATCAGGAGAGCAAAGGGCCAACCGAGAGGCGACATTGGGCTCCAACGCACACACTCTCGCTCTCTCAACTTCCACCGTACTTTTTATTCCTCGTTCCTTTATTTTCCCCTTCTTTACCCCTCCTTTTCATCGCACAAGAATATGGTGCAAACCCCTCGGATGTCCCCGAGGTTTCCGTTCCTAATCCTCTCTGGCTAACTTGCAGTTGTGGATGAGGGAGGGGAAAAAGAAAAACAAAACAAGAACCAACAAAAAGGCTTGCCCTCGTGTTCGGTGCGAGGATGGGTGGGATTGGGAAAGCTCAAGCGAGATGCGGACTGCCCATCAGTGGAGACTCCTAATGCAGCCATCGTCCGCTTGTGCCTGGAGCGATGACGGACGAAAAGATCGAGGACCTGGCGCCAAAAGCGAAAGCCCATCCATAGATCGACCCTCTGTTCCGTTCTCGAGCGCCACACAGAAGGTTGTGGAGTGGGGAACGCATCGATTGAATGATGTTGTTTGGTCGGGTGCCTGGCCTGACGCCGGATTGAGGGGTCGTGTGGCTTTTGTGCGTGGCAAGAGCATCTCGACGGATCAATGAGCTAGAACGCTCCATGGAGGCGTCCGAGTGCGCCATGCAACACGTCCGCTCCACACAAATGGACAAGATATATCTTGATGATGCATAATAGACTTGCCTATCATCCCGCCCCCTCTTAGAAGAGGATGAGGCTCTCAAGCAGCACCTGTGGAGAAAGCTATTGAGATTTTTCTTTGCAATGCATGCTGGATCCATAGATCCATGGATCCATTGTCTTCAAAAGCGCACTACCCCGCGGTAGCCTTCAAAACTAGTGTATGTTCGCCACTTCCCCGCCTCCCTTTTCAATGGGAGGTTGTCTTGGTTTTTTCTACGCGTGCTGTCCGGAATAGAGCATAGTCCGATTAGTGTATACTGAGTGGGTATTATCAGAAAGAACATGGAACGAATAAGACGAGGGATAGAGCCCCATCCCAGATAATATGCAGGTCTAATGGCGAACGAAAAGTGGCTGGAGAATGTGTGGCGGGGAATTCACGCTAAAAGAGGCTAAAGAAAACGAAAAAGAAAAAGCCTTCCTCCCCATGATTGACCCAAGAGGTGCCCAGGATATCAATACCAAGAGAAAAAGAACCAGCCTATTTCACGCATCGTCATGATCATCACGTCGAGCTATTGGAGGCCAAGGTGAAAACAAAATGGCGCAAGCTTCTGTGGGAATCCGCGTTGACGGGTTTCTCGACACCCAGCCACTCCTGCTGTTGCCCCTCTTCACTTCTCCCCACTTCCACCATTCTTTATCCGAGCCCATGTTCTTTCCTTTTTTCTTCTTCCTTCATGATCTTGTTCGGCTCTACAATATCCGTAGCCT